ACTTCCTTGTGTGATGGTCTCACACTGAGTGTGAGTTTCTTGTGTGATGGTCTCACACTGAGTGTGAATTCCTTGTGTGATGGTCTCACACTGAGTGAGAGTTCCTTGTGTGATGGTCTTACACTGAGTGTGAGTTCCTTGTGTGATGGTCTCACACTGAGTGTGAGTTTCTTGTGTGATGGTCTCACACTGAGTGTGAGTTCCCAGTGTGATGGTCTCACACTGAGTGAGAGTTCCCAGTGTGATGGTCTCACACTGAGTGTGAATTCCTTGTGTGATGGTCTCACACTGAGTGTGAGTTCCTTGTGTGATGGTCTCACACTGAGTGTGAGTTCCCAGTGTGATGGTCTCACACTGAGTGTGAATTCCTTGTGTGATGGTCTCACACTGAGTGTGAGTTCCTTGTGTGATGGTCTCACACTGAGTGTGAGTTTCTTGTGTGATGGTCTCACACTGAGTGTGAGTTTCTTGTGTGATGGTCTCACATGAAACTTTTTAAACTCTGAAATGTGTAAATAAAAATATATAAGACTTTTTGACAAATTTGGTAAGATTTGATTACCGGTATAATACCGGTAATGTTGAAATTGAACATCTATGACTACACAACCACATTATCCAAAATTTTCACCAACCTGACTGTTTCTAGTGCTATATTGTCCAGCAGTTAATCCAATATTTAGTAGTTAGTGAAATTATAAGGATGTTTTTTTAGTTCCCATTCAAACAAAATTCAAAAACAGGAACAAAAAATGTCACCTCTAAGTGTGTGCAGATGAATATCTCCACCTGTATTATTCATGCTTCAAATGTCAAACTTCATTTGTTTTGTGATCACAACATATAATTCATGTTAAATTTGATTTCATACATCAGGTACATATAGCAAATGTTGACAGTGAAGATGAATTTGACACATCATCACTGTTTGTAGCGAGGAGAAAAAAGAAGAAAATTGCTTTAATTGATACACCTTCTTCGGATCGAAATGTCGGCAACATACAATCATTGGGATCAGAACGAAAACAACACAAAGCAAAAGTAAGTGTAGCTATCCTAGTTATACATAGTGATCAGTGTTTAATTACCCTCAACAAATTTGGGCCATGGAAATGTTATTTTTTCATTAAAATTAAAAGGGCTCTCAAGTTTTCCAGACAATACAACTTAAATTGAAAACATTTGCAAGAAGAAAATATCATGACAGTCACTGTGTCTTAGTATCTAAAGTGAAATGTTCAACTCTTAAAAATATTTGTATCACAATACTGTATCACAATATTGAAGAATTTTGCAGTAAACCGTACAAGTCAGTTGAATTGAAACAATTTAACTCAGTCAAGTCAAGTCAATGTACATGGAGCTGGCAGGCTATAGGTTAAATAACTGGGTAGTATGTTTAGATGATCTGTTATCTAGGTATCAATCTGTGTACAGCGACATTCACTTTTGAAAATAATTTATGTTAATTAATCGCTACATCTTTGTTGTGAGTATTATGCAGGGAAAAGTGATTATGCATAAAATTGAATTCTTTAGAAACACAGAAATCGTAATTCTGAGGTGATCAGGGGTTTTCTGGATGAAGAAGCGGAGGTTTCAGATGATATCAGCCAATACTCCTCTGATGAAAATATCAATGAAGGATATGATACCTCAATGGAAGAATTCATCAATGATGCTACTCAGGCCTCTCAACAACAAACAGGTATGTGCAGGGTAATAGTAAAGTGATATTGACTGGCACTGAGGGCAGTATATCTTGATAGAAGAATTCATCAATGATGCTACTCAGGCCTCTCAACAACAAACAGGTATGTGCAGGGTAATAGTAAAGTGATATTGACTGGCACTGAGGGCAATG